GACCTTAGGTGGTTCCCTTGTTAGACTTAGGCTTAGGCTTTGGCATAGGCTTTTAGGTTAAGCTTAGCTTCACTTAACTTAGGCTTAGCTTGGGCTTAGGTTAGGTTTAGCTGGGGCTTAGCGTAGGCTTAGGGTTAGGCTTAGCGGGCTATAAAAATTATTTTTCCTAATAACCCTTTGATAATACCTTAAATGCCGCCCCATACCCAGTAATCTTTTGCCATTGTCCCAAACTGTCCGCCCGACACAGAAGCCATAAATCAGTACACATCCCCGGGTCCGGGCGGGGCAAAAAGAGAGAGGGGAGTGCCGAGGGGGGTAGGCGGGGCCAATCTCTGCATAATTCGCCCCCTCCACCCCGTGTACCCCATTCTAAAGGGTACCCTCTCTCTTGTCGGGCTCCACCCCCGAAACACCTCCACATCGCGCACATACATAAACCTCCCCGAAAACTAGTGGGGGGCCACGAGGGCTGGGGAGCATTGTTGCATTTTAGGGTCTTGGATTGGGGGTTGTTATTATTTTCGAGGTTTTACGGGATTTAATCTCATATTACGTTTTTTTTACGGTATACTGTAGTTTTTTTGATCTGATTTTTAGCACTTTCAAGGATTTTTGGTGCCAACTTTTTCGAATGCCATTTTTAACGTTATACTGTCGTTGTTTTCTTAGCTGATTTTCACTATTTTCCGCTTTTTGGGGTTTGATTTTTTTAAATTTTGAATTGAATTAAAGTTTTTTGATTTTTAACAGTATACTGTAATTGTTCTAATCTGATTTTATATTTCCAAGGGTTTTTCGGAGGTTTAAGCGTTTTATTTTGATTTTTCACGTTGTAACGTCGTTTCTCTAATCTGGTTTTTGTTATTTTGCAGGTTTCAGGGTATGCGAATAAAAATGAGCGTATTTTCAGTTTGAAATCGTTGTTTTTTACAGCAATAGTAGAATAATTCTTGTTAAAGATATTTTTTAAGATTTAAGAATTTATTAAGATAACTTTTTACCTGTTTTTGACCAAAAAATCAACATTTTCCAAAGTTTTTATCCTCAGCTTTTAATTCTAAAAATCGTGTGTTTAAAATAGGGCCATACTTTTCTTTAAATTAAACTATAGTTAAAATACGGTATTTTAGTAATGTCTGGGAAAAATTTCCACCCCCGCTAAACGGAAAGCACCCTGTTTAACGTTTGACCCTGATTTTTTCAAGATTTTCCATACTTTGGTATTAATTGTTTTACTATATTTAATGTATCCTGTCTATTTGCATCTGCCGATCATTATTGTCCGTATTTCTCTCTCCTCCATCTCCCCCAAACTGACAGATACGGCCTGTAAATCTCGGGCCAGCCGTGTCTACCTGGCGTTTATACCCCCAGGTCGCATCACAACTCCTCGTTTCTGGTCACCCAACATCTGGCCTAATGACGAAAGTGATACTTTAATATCATTTTATTTCCTTTTTATTAAATTCTCTATATTTATTGATAATAAGCTTATTTTTATTTCAACCGAAACGCGCAAAATTTACTTATATTTAAAAAAGGACCGAAAATTACCCTAATGATACTTTAATATACCTTCTGTATTTTTCATATATTTCATTTTTACTTTATTACGATTTCTTATCATTTTTCAAACGCTATTCGTGTTTTAGCCAATTATGCAATACTTGTAAAATTTAAGGTGAATGCCAAGAAACCCCGCATCATCCCGGATACCTCGCTACTAAACATGATTCTACGATTTTTCGCCTTCCTTTTCTGCACCCTCATCTCCCGATCGCTGCAGGACGATTTGCTATCCACCAGATGCCAATCCGAATGCTTGCACGAGCTCACGCAAAGATATCAGGTTTGTTAATGGGGGAAATATTTTTGTTTTCGTAGTTTTATACTTATTACTTTTTGTTTTCCTTAAAAAACGTAGAGCATTAAGCTACAGACTTCATTTTCTATACCTTGTAACGAAATCCTATATTTTGCTCTAAACTACAACTTCATTTTTGATACCTTGAACTGAATTACAGACTTCGCCTTTTATGCCCTGCTCTAAACTACCGACTCCATTTTGTGAGGCCTTGCTCTAAAATACAGACTTCCTTTTTTTCGATACCTTGAGCTCTAACTACAAACTACTTTTTTTTATGGCTTTCTTCATGCTCCCTAATTTCTAGCCACACTAAAAATTGCGCTGTTTACCCCTGCTGGGCCCCATGCTTAGGACCCACGCGGGTCTCATTTTTCTTTTGTTTCATTTCCCCTAACACCCGCCGCTCGTGGACAAACGACGATCTATCGTCAGCACCTGCCCCCCCCCCCCACCCCCCGCCCTTTAAAGGCCCGATTTTTGCATACGGTTTGACCGGGGGTGGTGCGTCTCCATTTCCTCGCACCATGGCCCGCGAGGGGACCTCCCGCGGCGCGTGCGTAAATTTATTGGGTCTTTTGTGAGGGCCGATCGGGCCGCCGATGACATGGTCGAAAATTGTTGTGCCTGGAATTGGTGGGGTTTATAGGGTTGTACAGCTAAAATACGGCGATTTTGCTAGGTGTTTTTTGAGAACTTTGAAGAAGGGTACGCCTAAGCCTAAGCCAAGCCTAAGCTAAGCCTAACATAAGTCTGAGCTTAAGCCTGAGCCTACAATCGTAGGCTTAAGATAATGCATAAGCCTAAGCAAGCCTACGCCTAAGCTAAGCTAAGCCAATGCGAAGCTAATCCTACGCGAGGCCTAAGCCTAAGGTAAGTCTAATCCTAAGCCCAAGCCGAAGCCGAAGCCCAACCATTAGCCTAAGCCGAAGCCTAAGCGAGCCTAAGCTAAGCCTAAGCAAAGTCTAAGCTAAGCCTAAACCTAAGCAAGCCTAATCCTGAGCAAGCCTAGCCTAAGCCTAAAAGCCTAAGCCTATCCTAAGCCCAAGCGCAACCTAAGCTTATGGTTAAGCCTAGGCCTAAGATTAAGCCTACGGTACCAAAAACATCCAAAATAAAACTTTTTATCATAAGAACCCTTTCATTCCGCTCTAGCGACCACGACTTGGCCAAGACCTTTTCATTTACCCCCTTCATCTACCTTCGGAGAAGAATGGAGGAATGCGCGTGCGGTGCATAAATGCGGGGCCACATTTGGGCATCCAACCCTAAATAAGTCGCCTCTTCTCCCCCCCGTGGCTGTTGCTGCAACCCGCCAATTTTGGGGTCACAATGCATCGGCTCTCCCCCCCTTCCACAACCACCCCTCACAACACTCTCAAATTATGCGCCAGCCACCCCTTTGCGGCGCGCATCACAGCAAAAAAAGGGTATGGTGCTGATGAAGGGTGGTCACGGAATTGTTTAGACGCACTTTTAGGGTGTGGGACTCGAGAAATGCTACAAAACAAGTAGTCAAATTTTGTGGAGCTTTCCTTTTAGCGGGGGTCTCGCAGAGGATACTTTTGGAAAGGTACAAAATTGGTAAGCCTAAGCCCTAAGCGAAGCCTAACCCTAAGCCTAAGCCTCAGCCCTAAGCGCAGCCTAAGCCTGATCCTAAACCATAAGCCTGAGCTAAGTCTAAGCCTAAGCCCAAGCCCTAAGCCCAAGCCCAAGCCTAATCTGAACACCTAAGCTTAAACTCATCCTAAGCCTAACCTAGGCCTAAGCCTAATCCTAAGCCAAAAGCCTAACCCTGAGCCTAATCTAAGCCTAAGCCGAAGTCCAAGCCTTTCTTTTAAATTACATAAATCATTTTCTAACTTAATTTACCCTCCAAAATCCCGATTCTCACTCCCATTCCGCCCTAATTCACCCGGTAAAGCCCTTGCCCTCTCCGCGGAGACACCGATTAGCATATCAAATTAAGGCATTCCGCGACCTGGTGATGATCCCATGCGAGGTGTATAATTGAGCCTCTCCCCCCTCGGGATCCACCGATAAATTCCAAGCCCAGCGCGAGGTGATAAAATTAGGCAACACCCGGCGGTATGCCTGAGAAAATTCTCAATATTGCCCGAGGGGCCCTCCCGAAAATCCCATATTTGTCCTTGAGTCCCACCCTTGCGTGCTCTCAAGGTCCAAACCCGTAGTGGGAAGGTTGTGAAGTGGGCGTGAGTAGTGGGGGCCCATAGTACGCGCGCGTACTATGAGGTGTAAGGAGTGGTGGGTCGTAGTGGGCGCGCGTTTAAAGGGACTGGGAAATCTGGGATTTGGTTTTCTTTTGTGAAAATCTGGACAACCAGTTTTTTTGCCGAATTTAGGTTTTGAGCATCATCTATTCGGAAAATTACGGTGAAAAGTCATAAAATGCAGCCAGAAATCTCGTATTAATTTTTTTGGCCATTCGTCCACCCGCCTAATACTACCCCAGCTGTCACCCTACCCCCGCGGCTTATGGCTTAAGCTTTTTTTGGGGGGAAGATAGCCAGAGCTCCCCCCAGAGGCGGGATGTAAATTTACCAAAACGCTTACTCGGGGGGCAGCTACCCCCATAGCTAGTGGACAGACAGACAGCAAGACAGACAGACAGAACCACACCATCTGGCCCCCAGAATAATCGAGCGAACGTCGCTTTTTTTTGGGGGGAAGATTGGTGTGGTCGGGATTGAATGTGCCGTAAATATTGCCCCTCGTAGTGTGTGTGTGTGGGGGGTCAAGATGGGATGTGGGGGACGGCCAGATTCACATAAAAGCACCCAGGAAAAAAGTGACTCTGGCGCCAGTCTGGCCGGGGGTGAACATCTTGTAGGATATGCGGAGGGGACAAGGTCGAGTTTATGCAAAAATTTTTGAGTATCGGCTAATAGTGGGGGCTATATAAAATTACTACAACTCCTACAGTAGGAAATACCGAATTACCATTTTTACGATATCTGAAATGGGCACTCCGGCCTTCACAGTCTCTTTAAAGCGCGACTTTGCGTAGTACGGTATCGTACAAATGACACTCCTGCGTTCAATGCCCCTTAAAACATATTTACCTAGTTTTAAGCGGAAATTAGAATTCACACGTGCGCTGTAAATACAATTTACGCTCCTGCTTTCGATGAGCATTGCAAAGGGTGGTATACTGTAGTATGATACCGTACAAATGACTTTCTTCCTTCACAGTCCCTTTAAAACTCGGTCTAACCCGATTCGTACAGCCCCCGATACCTAATTACCATAACTATAGATATTTCTGGGGCGACTCATTAGACCCCCGGTACCCTGCCTACCGGCCTTCCCCCCAGAGACATCCCTAATGGAGTAATTGTATGTACGCGATGCTCCGCCCGTCCGGTGCGTACAACACTACAGACATGGCATTGCGCAACCCCTAGAGGGTCCCTCCATTCATTCCGATGGCATCCGCCTCCACTCCACCCCTACGGAACGCTCCAAAGAACAAAAGAATGCGTAATTTGTAGCCCTCCGTAGGGCGAGAGGGGGCGATTCCGTTCCGTCCGTTCGAGAGCGGTCAACGGGATCCCCCCTATTTAGGGAGTTGCGCAACGGGATATGTATGAATAGGTATGGGCTTAAAGGGGATGTGACAGGTGTAGGGCCGGGGGATACCTTTAAGGATGACTTTAAAGATATCAAAACCATTGTAAAGATTAAATTTACCGTGTCTCGACGAATCCTTGCCTTCATTGCTCCTTTAAAACACGATTAGCCCCCAACCACGCGAAATCTGGGGGACACGTCGACGGGTGGTATGCAAATTTGCTCGGTAGATGTCGAATCCGGGTGGGTCTGGGTCAACAAAGTCGACGTTGGTGGCTGAGCATGCGGGTGGGGACCCGTTTCGCGCGCGCACCACTTCCGCGAGACACCATTTGACACAAGGGGTCGGAATCGACTGGAAATGGACCAATGCAAAACTTAAGCCTAGGCCTACGCTGGACCCAAGCCTAAGCATAAAACTACGGCTATTCGTAAGCCTAAGCCTAAGCGAAGCCCAAGTCTAGGCTAGGCCTAAGCCTGAGCGAAGCATAAGCGACTCCTAAGCGAGGACTAAGCCAAAGCCTACCCTAGACCTAAGCCTGAGCCAAGCCTATGCTTAAGACTAAGCCTAAGCCCGACCCTAGGCCTACTAAGCCTAAGCCTAAGCTTCAGAATCGCAGAAGTCGGCTCCCTCGAAGAACTTCAAAAACAACACAAAGCAAAAGAACCCCCATTTCCGGCAAATCTGCAACCTTTTATGCCACCATCGCCTGAGGCAACTTCCTCAGCCTGGCCCTAGATTCCGAGACAATACCACATTTCACGGTCCCATGTTCCGGGCGGCTCCTTTTAACGTCCAGCCCGTCAGATGGCACTTTGCGCAATGCCTTCCCCGGGCCAGAGAGGCGTCCCATTTCACACTGTCGGGGGGCTGCTCCTCCTCAAACATGACCCCCATCCTCAATATCAGCGCGTCGCCTTCGGGCAGTTTATGGCTCCTCTATGCAAACACAATATCGCTTTACCAAACCCCGCGCAGGGTGTTAGGTTTGAATTTGGGGGATTTTGGAGGGATTGAGCGGAGTGGGCAGGCTAGCAGAGATCGTTTCCGCTTCTTTTTTTGAGGCAACGTTGCAGAGATCTTTGAAGAGATTGTTAAAATTCGACCGTGTTTCTGAACGAGAAAATGCCAAAATCCCGATCGCCAAAATCCCGATAGCCGAAATCCGGAGAGCTAAAATGCCGACATCCAAAATCCCGACATCCAAAATCCCGACATCCAAAATCCCGACAGCCAGAAACTCCAGATTTTAAAACCATTTATGGGCAAAATGACCGGAAATCTCATGATTTGGCTGTCGGTATTTTGGCCTGTCGGTATTTTAGCCTGTCGCGATTTTGGTTGTCGGGATTTTGGCTGCGGGGATTGTTTTCTGCCGAAATTTACCCTGTCGGTATTT